AATGAGATGGGAGGATTTTACGATTTTGTCACATTTGAGGTGTCTGCTACAGACTTTGGGATAACAAAGAAATGGCATGTTAATCCAATAGGATTAAACAAGATTAGTTTTACACACAGGTCAGATCTTTTGATCTTTTTGAAATCAGCACGAGCAGCTTTAATCGAATGCATGGTTGTCATCCATTTGCATTAGACATTTTAATATCTTTTTCTAGCCTATATTAGTTTTGAATTAATTTAAAGGCGAGTTTATACGGTAGCCTAATTATTTAATTGTAGCCTAATTTAAATAATTTCCTTATATTTAAACCACATAAAAATATAAAGATTTGGTTCCATCCAACGTTACAATAAAGCATTTATAAATCATAGCAATATTTTATTTAGGACACGTTAAAAAAAACATGAAATTGAAATTTAAAAATAACTATCAAAATATAATTTATAGAAAACAAAAAAAAAAACAGTTTCTGTTTATAACAATTAACTTCGGGGAACATTGGACTCTTCTGTTCACATGCGTCATAATTTAGAAGATCCTTGATTTTTTGGTCTATTAATAATATTATTAGCCTGTTTAGCGCCAGTACACATTTTAAATCATATTTGCTATAATTCAGAGCAAAATATTCTGCAGGCTATCAATATATAAAAAATGTATTTATTTCAGGCATTGTACTAAAATTAATCACATTCCTCTGCTATAAGCTATGTAAAAATATACTTGTATTTGGTTACAAAATTATAAACAGTTCCTTGTAAAAATGAACTGCACTGGTCTTAGAAGACTAACTCAGCATGCAGTGCTGTCCGAGCTTCACGTCCCCAGCAGAATAGAGTCACTGAGCTGATATGAAATTCTAGGCTATAGGCTGTGCTAGTGGAATTTACTTATTGCAATAACTCACATGCAGCAAATGAGGCCATACATCAGTGGAGGTGTCACGTCACGTGACAGTGTCAGCATCCGAGTCTTAGTAAATTGGAGGATTATCAATCATTTCATGCTTGCAAAGAGGGACAGATTTCGGACAGATATATTTTCGTATACATCTTCCAGAGGCCCATGTCCCCCACTGACCACACAGAGGCCAAGGGCATCCCCGGTGCCCCCTCCATCCCTCTCCCAGCATTCCCCCTCCTCTCGCCCTTTGTTCACCTGTTGTCCTGGAGACTCCATTGCTGCGGTAACCACCCCATTGTTTGTTTGAGAACAGAGATGAAGAGACACAGTCCACAAGTAATCTCACAATGATTCAGCATGAAGCAATATTGACTTTTGAAAACGGAATGACAGAAAGTGGGAGGATGCACTAGCCTATCTTAAAAGTAGCCTACCCCAAAAAGAAATTCAGGACACAATTTAACAAATGCACGATTACAACTTTTATTATAATGTTGCCTATTGATTAAATTAAACCTTTCAACTCTTCCCCCTCCATTCACGGAGTTTTCCTGCTTTCCGTGTTGGCATCTTAAGAGTAGCCTCAGCAAACAGAATCTCCAGATTTAGAAGCAGAAACAATCCGTAGCCTATTACCGTATGTATGTATGCCTATAGCCAATAGCAGATGTATTAAAAATAACGCGATCATCAACATTAAGCATATAAATAAAAATTACATTTTTGACCCTTTTTTTTTTGATCGACCCAGCACTGTGACGCATAAGGGGCGCGACTCGTGTCTACTCCATCTATGTTTTGATAACGTTCTGAATCAGCTCAAGATGTACAAAACCTGATTTTCTCAGCTTTTTGCTTAAAATGTTGCTTGTTTATTGAAATTCACCCACATTCAAGTAGCCTATTGATAAAAAAAAAGAATGCATGAAGATAATTTTGTGTGTGTTTGTTTAAAAGCGGGGGTCTTTTTTTTCTTTGATAAATTGCATTCAGATATTAGGGGCCATTAAACTTTTGTAAAAATTTGCAAAAATGCTGGCAGTGGCTGGCAACGTTTTTCAAAATGGCTGGTGTTGAAATAGTTTAGTTGAAGTTGTAATAACTTAGTCTGGGACCAGGGTATCACCATATCTTTAATATCTAAAATGGACAAATTTCAATGGTTTGTTTTATTGTTTAACAACATTGTTCAGCTGACAAAACATTTTTCTAGAGGAAAAAACTCTTTTCGTTGACAAAAAATTCACAAGACAGTTTTGAGTTGTGATATGTTCTAGAAACTTTATACAGCCCATGCCAGCCTTATTTTAATTTATGTACAGGTTGATGGAGATGTTGTGGTCTAATTTAAAGAGTCCGACTGGTAACCCAAAGGTTATGGATTCTCAATACTGGCAGAAATGGTGCCCTAGCCAACAGATCTGGCCCACATCTGATACGAGTGGAATCCACATGTACCAGATGTGGCCCAGATCTGGGCCAACAATGTTGCTGTCTGGGCTTGAGCAAGGCACCTAACCCCCAATCGCTCCATTGGCGCCACAGTGAATGGCTGCCCACTGCTCCAGATGTGTGTCCACAGTTTACAGTGTGTGTTCACTTCTCACTGCTCAATGTGTGTTCACTAACTTACATAGGTTAAATGCAGAGGACAAATTCCCTTGGACCTTCATGTCACTTCACTTCAATAACCTGACACTTCAATAAGAGGTTACGCAAGTTTTTATGGGTTTTGGCCATTCATTTACATGCCAACATCGTTTTGGGGGCCTAAAAACGCAAACTTTAAAAAAGGGGATTGAAAGTGCAAGTTTTTGAAAATGAAACTGTTATCTCTGTGTAAACTACAAAAAGCCTCAGTCTAAAGCCACATTTTTTACAATGTGACATCACCAACTAGTTGCCTGGCATGCCATGCATAATACAGCGCTTTTAATTGTTTTTGCCGATCTGTGTGAATGAGAATCATTTTGATATTTGTTGAGTTTAACTAGATCAGATTAATTGGTTTCAGAGCCACCCCTATAGTTTTGCCCTAAGCTGGTGAAAAAAAACAATTATGCTGAGTATACTTGCAGCCAGACTAATTATCAGTATACCTCTAGTGTGTTAATGATTAGTTAACTTGAGGTGTGCTATTTTGAAACAACTAATGTTGTACTAAGTATATTTTGTAATTAAATTGCAGTAAAGCACAACTTTAAGTGTATTTAGTGTACTTTTGTGTACATTGGATCAACTTCAAGTATACTTTTAAGTATATGCCTGTGTAGGGACTAAACACATGCTTGATTAGTGATATTAAACTGTATTTAATTTGTGTTAGAAGTACGTTACAAATTCATTATGAGTGTCTTTGAAACATACAAGCAATATACCATAAGCATAATGTTAAAGGAGTAGTTCACTTTTATAAAAACTTTTGCTGATAATTTACTCACCTCAATGTCATCCAAGATGTCTATGTCTTTCTTTCTTCAGTCGAAAAGAAATGAAGGTTTTTGATGAAAACATTCCAGGATTTTTCTCCATATGATGGACTTCAATGGAACCAAACGGTTCAAGGTCCAAAAGACAGTTTCAGTGCAATCTGTTCAAAGGGTTTTAAACAATTCCAGATGATGAATAAGGGTCTTATCAAGCGAAACGATCGCTCATTTAAAAAAAATAATAATAAAGCTTAAGTTTTATAAGCTCAAATGGTCACCTTGCACTGTTTTATGTGACTCTCCTGTTCGAACTCATTCATCAAAATGAACGAATCTTTTCTAGAGTCTTTTTTTCATCTTTTTTTTCTAGAGTTTTTCTTGATAAGACCCTTATTCATTGTCTGGAATCGTTTAAAGCCCTTTGAACAGTTTGCACTGAAACTGTCTTTTGGACCTTGAACCGTTTGGTTCCCATTGAAGTCCATTTTTGGAGAAAAATGCTGGAATGTTTTCATCAAAAACCTTAATTTCTTTTCGACTGAAGATAAAATGACATGGACATCTTGGATGACATGGGGGTGAGTAAATTATCAGCAAAAGTTTTTATAAAAGTGAACTACTCCTTTAATAATGACACTACTGAGTCTCACAAACACACAAACCAAATAACTGATGCAGAAAGAGGCAAAAGTTGGTTTAGCCAAGCGTCTCAGCTGAATGCACCTCAAAAGGACTTTGCTCAGTGTGCTGATTGTTTTTCATCTCTGGGCCACACAAGGCCCGCTCCATCCTCCATCCCACCCCTCCGCCGGCCGCTAACTCCGGCCTGACCCTGGCCATGCTGATGAAAGACTCATCAGCACTGTGGCTGGGCACATTTACAAGTGAAAGACAGCCAATAATGGGGTGGTTAGGGAGAAAATGAGGAGACAGAGGGGTGCTCACAGATGTTGAGGGGGGTGGGGGGCATTGTAGCCAGGCCAGAGGGGACCGGCGGAGGGGGTGATGTTGTGCCTTTTTAGACCTGATTTGGGACAGAATGGAGAGGTGTCCGATTGAAGGGGCCAGCGGCCAGCCGCCTTGGAGAGCGTGTGAACGGGAGCGCAGGGGTCAAGCTAAGAGGAGAGGTTTGGAGGAGGGAGGGGGTCAGTCTGCTATTATCTTTGCTTTTTGTAACAGTCAGACAACGAAACATTTGAAAATCCTTCCTTTGACGCCACCCAAGGTGATCGGCCTTGTCGCTACACTTCCTCTTCGTATTTTGGGATGGGACAGATGAAGTCATCAAAGTGGGTATTAGTGCTTGCTTTGTGTGCAGGTGAAATGGTAGGGAAAGTTTAAGAGCTTATCCACTAAAATTCAACATGTTTTCAAAGGGCTTAATGTCCAGCTCACAGTCACGGTGTCGCTTTCAGACCACCTAACACCTGCTAACATTTCCTACTGAGATACATTTAATATCCTTTGGTAAGTGGTGGAAGAAGGGCTGTCAGAGAAAGTTGGGAGGCTTTGAGTCATTCAGTTTATATTCAATGTTCAAACAGTAAGGGACTAGGAATGGTCATATATGGGGTTTGGAAATATGTGAAAAGCTCACTTTAAACTCATGATGCTCAAAGCACTGTGAAAAATGTTCTTGTGGATTAAAATGATCAAATAAACAGGTTTTAAAAAAATGAAAGTTGATTTTATTGCCTTGCTTTTGATGTAGTGTTTCTTCTTTTCATGTTGTATTCATGTACATGTTTTTTAAAAAAAAAATGCAACATGGCACATTGCTGGAAATAATAGAAATGGTTGATCAATGAATAGAAAACAGCATGACAAAAATAGTTTTTTAACATTTACATCTCATTGCAGAGTATTCTAAATGAATGTGCAGAATAACCGTACAATGTGGATAGCTTTCTACTGAATTTAAGGGGACTTCATGATTAAATATTATTTTCCCTTCATTAAGTAATATTTAAAATTTGGCAATTTGACTCAATTTAATCAAAGTAGACAACATGGCTTTTCAGATAAGAGAACAAAATGTATCTATTAACTTTTTTGCAACCTTGATATGATACTACACAATACTCAAGAGGCAAAATCTCTTTTATGTTCCACTTCCACATACAAAAATAAAGTCATACAGGTTTGGAATAAGGAATGAGGGTTAGTAAATGATGACAATTTAAAATAGTTATTTACATCGTACGGAAAGAGCTGATCTGTTCCATTTTCCGATTAAAATAAATCTGTTTAAATAATAAAAAAGCTTTTATACATCATTTACAAATTTAATATGATTTTTTTAATGGGAAAAAACTACAACAAAAGGTATTGTGGGAAAAAAAAAAAAAACTTCAAGTAGGCACTGCTGCCACCCTGTGGTCAAAATCAGAATCACCTCATGATAAAATAAATAAGTCACTCATGTTTAGAGAGCACTTCGTTTGTAATGAACTCCAAACTGAAAATTTGTGTTTTGTAGATTGTTTTAGTATCCCAGAGAACTCTGAAGTATAAAAGAGGTCAGCACTGAATTTGCCTTTGTATTAACTATCAACTGGCTTATTCTTGCTTGATTCAAAACAGAGATGTTTCTCGGATCCTGTTCATTCTTCATCAGAACTCATCCACATGGCTGAAACATACTGAAAGAGTGTCCCAAAACCCCAAATTCACATTGCTTCACTGTAGTTCAACCACCCAAAAGGCTTTGTGCTGTAAAGAGGATCCTCAAAGGAACAGGTTAACTTTAGCCGGCACCAATTTGCAGCCGGTGCTGGAGAAATATTGTCTGTCATTTGGTGTGTAAGTCATGGCACCTCCTACTGACGATGCCACATCTGTACGCTGACACTCCCCACGCTGGCAGAGCTCCCGCTGGGCACAGCGCTCCACGTGGCGCCGAAGCAAGGGAAGGAAAGGCACAAAACGAGTGATAAGCTTTTCCGTAATTATTCTGGAGTGGTAGAACCCACCTGGGAAACAAAGTTCATCAACAGATTAGATTGAAAATTGTGCAACACGCATATGAAGTACTGTAACTAGCAGCTATCATTAACAGGATTGAGCTGAAGACCGGCGACACTCACTGTTCTTGTTGTTGTACACGGCCTCAGCGATACTTTCCTCCAGCTCATTGGGGCGAATGTCCTCTCGCTCTCTTCCTGCCTGTCGACTCTCGAACGCAAGTTTGTTAACTACCTCCTGACCTACAGTACTGGGGAAAAATATTGAAGATTGAAAATGAAATATGAAAGCCTGTTCAAAATAAGCTTATCAGATATTACTCTAATCAGTCAGTCTTACCTGATAAATATATAAATCGCCTTCCGGTAGTTTGTCTGGAACAGAACATGGAAGGGGCCTAAATGCGGTTCTAAAACATCGATCACACCAGGAGGCATTTTCTCCATCTCATCGAAGATAAAGATTGAGCGAGCGCAGGCGGTGAGGTTTCTCTCAACCCAGAGTTTTAGATCTGACTGCGGACAAAGCAAGAAAAGAACACATAAATCCGTATTCACTCGGGATCTATTGACATGATATAAATATTAAAGTGTACAACAAATATCCAGAGTCGCCAAGTCTGCGGTTCTTTTAAATGGTTGCCACGGGTTTAACATATTGCAAAGATTGTATTCGATTGGAATGCTGGCAAAATTTAAATATTTTGCCCATTTCTACGTTTGTGTATTAGGGAAGGAGACTGGTGGGAAGCCTATTAAGGTCCTTTTATGAACACAAAATGCAGTTACGATTCATTTTATAAATTGAATTTTAATTTATTTCACTGTTTAAAAACATAACTGTGAAATATGTATTTTAGGTATTGAGTTCTGATATTTGGGATAGGGTCTTTAAGATTGTTTTTGAGCTAGTTTGTAATACAACTCTGTAATACATCAAGAAATATACACTTACCCTGTATCGTTTCACCCGGTTGGCTAAAGGAAAGTGTAATGTGGGAACAAACTGATGGATGTACGGACTGCCCATAGCCGTTCCATAGATATATCGTCCGATCATAGCGCTGACCAAACTTTTTCCAGTCCCAGATGCTCCATGGAAAGAAAGCACTAGTGGTCTGTCTGGGTTTTCATTCTGTAAAAAATTTGTCACTGCTTCTGAGACAATGTCTTGAACCATATGCTGACCATAAAGGTTTTTATAAAGGTCCCACTCCAAACCTGTAAAAACACAAGACACAGGGGTTTGTAAATAAAAGTTTGCTTTTACTCACAGCTGTTACACTGGAGCATATGTGCAAATGAGATCTTCATTTGACAGATATATTGAATGACATCAATGCAAAGCAATTCATTAAGGTCTGCAAATATTGACTGCCATTAAAATGAAGGGGAATGCTAACGGATTGCTTTTTACTATTAATCAGAATTTGGTGCACATTTTCAATGATTTTACTGTTATATGAGAATGTAATTTGGGCAACTATTTTAAGTATGTATATGGTCAAACTTCCAGCTAAATTGACATAAATAATTATGTGTAACACTTTTAGCAAGTTGCAAGTAAGCTAACATCAAATGGATCTCTCTCAAATGCATTTTCGCTCATCCAGTCAAGCAGTGAAGTGTTTTATCCACATAAAGCTCCATACACACTCTAAACTATGTAGCATTTTGTTAATGTTTACAGTGTCAACCACCACCACCAACGTTGTTGTAATGTTATTCGGTATAAAGAAATGGATCCCATATTTATTTTGAAAGAAATTCCCTAATTTCCCCTGCTAAAGCTGACAACTCTACTGAGTAGTACTTCAGAAGCTAACGCTAACTGTTTATATGCTGAAGATACAGCTGTTAATAATATCATACACACCTTACCTTTTATGTCTGGTTTGTAGTCACATTCGCAGCTCTCAGATATTGAACAAAAAATTGACTTAATCTCGAAACCAGTACCTAAGCGAGTACAATAAATTAAGAACAGTATAAATATCATGATGGCTACAGCCTCGGAGCACAGCTCCAAGATGAGTTGGATGACAGCGGAAGCGCTACAGTTCCACATTAGAGGGCTGACTTCACACATTTCCGCGCATCGGTTCTTTCGAGCAGTTCTTTCAAAGGGCAATTCACTGATTCTTTTACGTCGTGACGTAATTGCGTCATTGCGTGAGCCCTAATAATAATAATAATAAAAACTCTAAGCACATGTTTATGCTTAATTGCTTATACTTGTGAATGTTGTGGAAGAATAAAATTGCTCCCGTTTTATCACTGTATCTACTTACCTTGAAACGAATTACAGAAAGCCGGGGTGTGATAGACATTTGTGAATATTTGATGTGTTTTGTTTATTAACAGGATGATAATTGAATGTAAAGAACAATACATGCCTATTATATGGGGCGCCGTTTGTAAAGCGCATCACGCTTACATTTTGTCACATTTAGCTTCAAACTATGTTTAAAAAACTGGTAAGGATTTTTGACGGTCACTTTTTAGCACATTTACATCAATATTTGTCAACTTACAGACAGAGCCGGCTTCAGACCGCTTTTAGCAGGGGGGCATTTATTTTCAATGGGTGGGCACTAGGTAGGTATGGGGACTTTTTTTCCGATATTAGATATCCTATATTTATTATTGCTACTGCCTTTTCTGTTAGCTATTAACATGAAGTAATGCAACCCACACAATAAACACATACAACATTACACATGGTTGCAAGACGAGCGACTCTTAAGAAATTTGATCAAGGGTTAAATAGGCCTATACAAAAAAAAAATTGCAAGACCGACTCTGACCACAGCTTTAATAGCAAAGCTAACGAACATGTACATAGTCTCTCACTGACAGAATAGCCATTTATATGCTATCTCAATGGCGGAAGTGAGAAAAAAAAAAGCAAAGTTACTCATCTTTATTCTGCTATGTTCTAACATAAGCATTTACATTCGTAGCCTTAAAAAAGCATCATGTAGTTACCTTTATCAAATAAAACCTTTAACACCTTTAACAAATAAAAAACACCCACAACATATTATTCTACAATTTCCATTTACAAGAAAATATAGGCTTAAACACCTGTTTCTCCACGGCGGGAGTGAGTGACATTTCAGGACAATGGGCAGCGCAAAAACTAGGCCAACTAAACTATTAGTTTCATCACGTGACAACACATAGTGAACATTTCAGTATATGCCAGTTAGATAAATACACTTACGACTCAGACTCGACTGTCTTTGGTCTCGGTCTCGACTACAACACTGCACGGTAGAAGCACCAAATACCAAAGCCGGGCTGTCGTTGTCTTGCTGTATGGGGTAATCGATGTGTAAGGAGAAACTGTGGTATTGAACCATTTTCTAATTTCCATTTTTGGAGAGTTTTCATCTGTTTGCTTTGTTTTGTTTTGAATGCAGGAAGCTCGCGCGGTCGCGCCAACTGAAAATCATTTCATTCAAGTATTAACGTGCGTGATTGGGGGGGGGGGGGGGGGGCGGCAGGGGGGTTTCCTCACAGCGTCACACTGGTTTTTATGTTGGCTTTATTGTATTTTCAGCTAATGAGCCGTTTGTAAACATATATTTGTACTATTTCTCACTGAAATGTGAATTAAATTAAACTGATATTATTTTGTAAATTATATCATAATTCAATTTGGGGGGGCACAAAATACATTTGGGGGGGCATTGCCCCCTAATGCCCCCCCATAGCGCCGGCACTGCTTACAGATATTTTAAATAGTTAAATCTAAATATTGAATGTTACACCTAAATGTTAAATCTAAATCTAAATATTAAATCGAAATCTAAATGTCAATTTGCAGCCATTATTTATGTCATAAAAAACAATTATGATGCTAGAAAATATCACTTAACTGCATTACATCACCTTGCACTTTTGCACGTTTGAAATAAAACGCTATCAAATACAAACATTTTTCGTATGTGTGATACATTCAGTCATAACCTAAACATTTCCAATATCCAATTTTTTTCAGCTGAGCTCACCCTTTCATGGCTCGTTACGTTGCGCATCAGACATGTTCGAACGAGATGCTCGGCTCAGTGACTTGTGAATCATTTGGACTGACGTTCCGAAGCTTTTCGAGATCCCGAAACGTGATTCAAACGGGATTCAAATTCAAAACACCCATGTCACGTGACTGTAAATAAAAGATGATTATAATTTTTTTTAAATATTTATTTTATAGTGCGCTTTGTTTAGTTATATTTAGGCTTACATTTAAATGTACACATTGGATGCATAGACAGAATATAGACAGATTAATAGACGGATACGTAGGCTACACACACACACACACACACACACACACACACACACACACACACAGAGAGAGACAGATAGATAGATAGATTGATAGATAGATAGATCTATAAAACAAGAAATAAAATTATATATTGTGATCTGCAGCTGGCCTACTGCAGCAATACATCATCCACGATGTGCCATTTGAGGCGCTTTTATCCTGCCATTCTGCAGGGTGCAGAGGATGGTAGCATTCCCCCTGTAGGCTACCTAGGCCTGCTACTGACAATGCTGGGCCATCTAAGCTGGGCCATTGTACTTAAAAAACATCCATAAAAAGTCCTTTAACAGCAGATAAATTAATCTTTTTGAATAAAAATCTATATAAAAAGTGAGACATTGTGGCTTGAATTCTTTTATTAATATTATTTTTTTCATGACCAAAATAACATAATGCACACTGAGGGGCCTACAGGTTACAAACTTCACATATAAGAAAAAATACAATAATAAAAAAACAACACATTTTTAATGGCTCGTTGTCAAGGTTATTTTAGTTCAACACCTGCAAGTGACCACTAGGTGTCACCGTTAAGACTGATAGCCTCGACACAATATGGCACATGCCTCGATCTCAGAAAGTAAAAGTTCCTGTTCACTAATTAGTTCTATCTCCTGGCTGATAAACTGTGCTAATTAGCAAATCCAGGTAATTGGAAGTTCAAAATACTGAGGACAAGAGCGGCCTTTACTTTCTGAACCTGGACTTTATAGCTCTGCCAATGAGATAGAAGTAGCTGACTAAAGTGCTATACACTGCTTGTATTCACTAGGCCTATTTTTCACATATATAACTGTATTCGGTGTTGTCATCATGATCATCAGCACATTCAATAAATTCTCTTAACCTATTGCTACTTTGCAAGAATTGTAAATTGGTCCTTATGAGTAGCTAATAGGATTCTGAATATAGGCATAAGATATTCATAAGATGACTCTGATGTGGCGACTGGTATCAAACATACTACAATTTCAAGCAAGTAGGCTTTAAATCAGATAAACAAACATTTCACTTGAATATCATATTGACACAGTAAACTAAATTCATTTGTAAATGATGTAAGTATGAAATAGCCTGGTAGCGTTAAATGTATAACCTACACTTAAAATCTTTAAAAAGTTTACCAATGAGTAAATATTACCCATTATTTGGTCATTGATTACATAACCAATAACAAGTGCAATTAAATACTTCAAAGATCAAAGCTAACTATATTAGCATAGTTAAAGTTATTTCCTCTTGAAATAATAACACATTACATAAAACAAAAGAACAAAAAACCCAATAACAACCAAAATCAAATAAGTTAAAATTGCCGAATGTGTTCAGTTTATGTACATACATGCCTGTATGCATGGGACAGTCTAACTGTAAATAAATTCACAAATCAGTGTACATATTGTAAATAATATGTGAATAGTTATCATCCCTTCTGTCATTTTGCTGAGTGAGAAAGCTCAAGTCTGTTGGACAGAGCTGTTAGCACCTCATCAAACTTTGAATAACGCTCATCTTTAATTCTTTCCACTCCACGTTTTCCCCACAGGAGACGCATCTGAAACTCTGTGAGGAAGACCTCCCGAATATCCGCCTCCTCCTGAAACCCTGCAAAAAAAAAAATAAATAAATAAAATAAAAAATCAGAAATAAGGAACATTATTTGCACATGATCTATTTTTTATTAATAGCATGCAAATTGTAAGTTTTGTGGACTTGTTCGTATTTCCAATGTTTTTTTTTTTTACATTATTATACACCAAAAAAAAAAGGTTTTCAAGCAGTACCTCATTCAATGAATATTTTTTTGTTCAATTCAGTTTACTAATATTTGTTTTATTTTCCAAGTTATATTTTTTTTTGTTCAAAACATTGCTAAATATAAATATTTTTCATTAAGACAGACTGCACCAGTCTGTCTTGTCTTCAGCACTACACTTCCCAGGATCCTCTTGTCTCCACTCCTGAACTCACTCCCTCATTAGCCACCTGTTCCTCGTCTTGATCATCTGTGTCACCTGTTCTCACCTCATTATGTTTGATTCCTGCTTGTATTTAGTTCTCCCTCATTCAGTCAGTCTTTGTCGGTCAATGTGAATGTTACCCTGCGTGTTCCTGAAACCTGTCTTCCTACCTGTAATCTTGAATAAATATTGTCGTCAGTGGAATCCTGACTCCTAGTCCTCTTCTGCCTGCACAGCACTGTGACAATACACAGGCCAGCGCATGGGCATTAAACACAATTCTCGACCAGTGACAGTCACAAACAATAATTTACTTCACATGCAGGCACAGGATAAAGACCACAACGTCAGTCAGACGTTGGATTTTAGTTGAAATTGAAAGTCGGGTTGAAGTGTAAATCCAATGAAGTCGTTGAATTTTGGTTGGTATAAACCAAAAAGGTGAAATACATGGCCGTACACTTATTACCAGCTTCACTTTTAACTAACCAGATTTACTTTATTTCATTTCAGAAATCATATTTTGATTTTAAAGTCACCATGATGGTGGCTAATGTTTGCTTTAGTTGTACTCTTGACCCTTTAATATAAATTTTTCTCTGGCTGCTATACATGTGTGTTTATTAAGCACAATTACAGCTAGAAATGCTATGAGATCAGGTGATGGCTCTTTATTGATGATATCATCATGTAATTGCCTGAATCCTTGATCTTATTCAGGGTTTAATGCTTTGACTATTTGACTAATGCTTGTGGTTTAATATTCTGTCCTTCCAGAAAAACGCAGAGTTTTTTTTTTGTGATTGTTGCAGGCAAAAATCCTTGATTACGCAGCCCGTTTTCTTTAAAAATGCGATGGAATATGCGGGATATTTATGCAATTTTATGCGATGAAATTGCGGGAACTTGCATAAACTGCGGTTTGATGAAAAAGAGAAAAAAGGTGATTTCCCCAACACCCTGTTCTCACTAGGCTACTACCTTAATGTAAAGAGTCATTTCTTATTACTTCCTTTGATAAGCAAGCATACTACATCATAGAAAGTGCTGGGAATATTTAATTTCTAATCTTGTTTTATTTCAGACTATAACGAGTGTAAATAAGGTGTGGCCCCTTTAAGAGCTGCGCGCTCCCTGTTGAATTGTCTGCAGTGTTATATGTGCGCCTCAAACACCCCATGTGTGTGGGTAATTTCTGTTTGATGCTACTTCTTTTATCTTATTTTGTTTATTAAGTAATGATGTGACGGTAGAACGTGTGACAGACAGTTATACGAGTTCGATTTGTGAGATGTCAATCGCCTCCGTGAGTCTGTCTGGCCTCAGCAATAGCTTCAGCTGTGAGCTATATCCCGTCGCATAATTGCGTCACTTCATAACGTTCCCATGGAAACAGGGGGAAATGGCTGCTCTTGCGTGAAGCAAACACAACATTTTTCAACTTTCTGCTAAGATATATGTGACTTTTTTGCAACGAAAATGCGAGGATTATGAAATCATGCTAACCCCCCATATTTTGCATGGAAATCGGCAATTTATGCAGCGAAAGTGCGGCGTGTTTGAAAAAAATGCGGCCCCCGCATAAATATGCGGACTTTGGCTGATTTTGCATTGAATTTAGCGATCGCATAATCGCGTTTTTCTGGAGGGACTGAATATTGTTTTATTCATAATAGAAGTCATTTGTTACTACAGCATATCTAGCAGTGTTATCACATAGCATATTTGTTTTTAAAATATTATTTAGCACACAATAACCTTTCATCTACAGCATTACTTAGATGCACACAGACATCAAGAAACAGCATATGAATCTCAACAATGGTGACACTCAAACAAAATATCCAGATAATCAGATGAAGTCGCGAGCTACAAAAAAAAAAATCCAGCTGCATAATTTATTAATGCCACAATGCATGCTGGGAGATATGACAAACACTAACCAACATCATGGTGAATTTAAAATACTACCATTGATTTCATACAAAATGGAAATTAAATAAAGTAAATCTGGTCAGTAACAAGTGAAGCTGGTAATGCTGTTTGAGTTGTTTACTAATCCTCGGCTGAGATCTTTTGAGAAGTTTTGTTTTGATTAAATCTATATATTTTTGTTTAGATCAAAAATAGATTTTTAATTAATTGACTTTCTTCAACATGAAAAATGTACTTTGAAGTTTTACAAAATCATTTTCATAGACATAGAAAATATTGGTTAGGGTAAGTTATTTATTTTTCATTGGTTCAAGTTATAACATATAGATGTGAACCATTACCCTAATTTTTTTAATTGGATGAATGAAAAGATTTTTTCAGTGTATGTGACTTTAACCCAAGTCACAAGGTACAAAGAATATGAATGCAACCATTTATCGTCTTAAAAAAAAGTGCAGCTATACTAAATCACCCTAAAATTCAGTGACCATTACAAACTGTTTATGTTATAGAGCATTACCCTGCAGTTTGGCCTCTGCATTAGCACTGAAGATCCTGCCATTGCACGCAATCGTACGTGCAGCATTCAGATGGCTCAAGACCATGGCCACTCCAGTGTCTGCACTTTCCCATGACTCAGATTCATCAAGAGTCACGACACTCCTTTCAAGAAGAGACAGCAGGGGAAGCACATGGGGAAATGTTGTCTCTGTGGGGTCACTTATCTCTGAAAGAGAGTCATTGGAGAATTTGAAATGGTAAGCACACAGAATCTTTAAAGGGCTATAATCCTTTTTCACTTTTTTGAACTTTAGTTTGTGTGTAATGTAGCTGTTTGAACATAAAAAAAAGATCTACAAGGTTACAAAGCTCAAAGTGCACTCCAAAGGGAGATATTTTACTCAACAGAATCCACTGTCCAAGAACTACAACAAACGACTCATTTGGACCACAGCGCGATTTTTCCAGTTACCCATTTAAATATCCGTGCCCACGAAATACACACAAAAGGGGACGAGGCCTGGTTGAGCTGCATTAAAGAAGGCAGTGTTGTTGTTATGCCAAAGAGACACTGTCTTTTTCCCCCACCCCATTTACAAAACTCTTTTGTTTGACCTTCCTACGGCTGATGAGAGTGGTTACAATTTATTTTAAACATAGATCCTGAACATTACAACCATAATGTTTGTCTGTGTGCTGCACATTTTACGGGGAACAGCTTCCAGAATCATAATGCAATGTGTATGACCCGTGAAACAAGATGATACTCTAAACATTCTCATCAGTATTAGTTTGCCTCTATGTCTGTGTGTTGCAGCGTCTAAGTTCTTTCTGAAGAACTACATTCAAATTTTTTCCGCTTCATTTCGTGCCTAACAATGCCTGCCTCTCTATATATGTTGAATGCTGAATACTGTTCTAAATTCACTGTAAACCATGACCTTTTGGGGCTTATTGTTTTAATTTGTTTAAAAATGTTGAGGGAACATTCAAAAGTAACACTTTAATGTTTTTACTAAAAATAGAATGTACCCTTAACGCTCTTATTTTTTTTTTTTTTTACATTTTCATAATTTAATGCGAACGTCAGTCCATGAACTTTGTTTAACAGAACTGTGTAATATGAATTACTTTAGATGATTAGTATGTGTGAATATTTACCTTCTCCATCATTCATCATCCTCATTGAGGGTCGAAGGGTTTTCTCATAAAGAACAGCACTTTCTGTATACTTCTGACGTAAAACCGTCCATGTCTCATCCAATCGAGCAATCTGAAAAAAAGCAGAAGACTTCTGACTTATTAGAACATTATAAAAGGTCACAGTGATTTTCCAGGTAAGACATGTGGATCATGAAACAACATTCCTGTCTGAAAATTTAGTATTAACCCTATCCCTACCCATAACATATCCCTAAAATCAGAGGGAAATTATAAACGAATAACACTGAGGTAAAAGCACTTTATTCGTAAGCTTAAACTTAAAGGGATAGTTCACCAAAAAAAGAAAATTCTGTCAGTATTCACTCACCCTCATGTTGTTCAAACCCCGTAAGACCTTTGTTCATCTTCAAAAGACGAAGATATTTTTGATAAAATCTAAATTAATCAAACGATGAGAACACTTTTTGTGCGTGAAAAAACAAACAAAAATAACGACTTTATTTCAACTATTCATTTCCTTCTCTCTGGGCCTCGAGTTTAACAGTGTATGATCTGTTGTTGTACGTCACACGCATCACACACATGACCAGCGTGGGCAAATAGTGAGCCTATAGACCTTATTCAGAGCAGCGCCATGACAGGTATGAAAGTGAGGCTGTGAGGGATAGACTTACCGTGTTTCCAATGGTATCCGCTGTAAAAAGCTGAATTAAGCGGCTAGATTACTTACAATTTTCCACAGCTTACATTGTCGGGAGTTTTTTGTCAACTGACATTTCTTTGAAAGATATTTTTCCAGTGTTTCATGAGCAGAACAATCCGAAAACACATTCAATAACAGTACAGCCCATTGAAGAGAAGCAAGTCTATCCCTCACAGCCTCGCTTTCATTCTCATTAAAAATCAAAGATGGTGCTTCTGTGAATAAGGCCTATGTGTGACGTTTAACTGACTAGAGGCCCAAAGGAAATTAATAGTTGAAATAGATTAATAGTTGTTTGTTTTTGCGCGCAAAAAGTGTTCTCATTGCTTGATCAAGATAAGATTGAGCCACTGTAGTCACTTGGACTATTTTAACGATGTCTTTAATAACTTTTCGATGCCGTCAAGTTTCAATCCCTCAAGAAGCCTATGGACTAGTATGGAGGAGTGATTCAGCTCTCAGATTTCATCAAAAATATCTTAATTCGTGTTCTGAAGATGAACGAAGGTCTTACGGGGTTGAAACAACATGAGGGTGAGTAAATACTGACAGAATTATGATTTTTGGGTGAACTATCCCTTTAATATAAACTGTAAACTTGCCCCTCAAATCTGATTGGTTGATTGGAATGTTGTTCCAGGATCAACAACCTTTAGGTCCATCAGATTGCTTTATAATTATACATTTTTATTTATTAAGTTATTTACTTATTCATATTTATTAATGAAAAAAAAAATCAATTCTTAATTGATACACTTTCCATCATGGTTCAAGAGAAATGCTTCCATTTGTCTTCTAACCTGTGGTAATTCGAGGCATTTCATAACTGTGGCAAAACCAAACAAATTGGTCAAATTGTTTTTGAGTTCAGAGGCCAGACAGATGACTCTGTGCAGGAGGGTGGCTCTCTCATCAGCACTGCCAGTGCAGCCCAGCAGCTCTACAGCCAACATTATGGACATGGTGTGGAACCTGACGGGACAAGGAAGAGTTATTTGTGTAAATTTTAATTTAACATAGAGGCTGTCATCTCAATGGAAGCATTTATTGGACACAGTGGTAACCAAACCTTTCAAGCAGATCTTGGCGGAGTTGATGTCCATGCGGGAGGGTAAGGAGCTCCATTCCCGAACTCACCCCCATCCCTTTCATCATATCATCAGACATATCCAGAATTCGAGCAACCTGCAGAGTGAAGATGAGCAATCTTGTTAAGAGCATAGTGCAGTGGACATTTTACTTAAAAAAAAAAAAAAAACGATCATATTAAATTATTCAGAGGATCCAGAAAAGTTTTGCAACAAAAATAATACTAACCCAGGGATATATATTATGTATTATATATATATTATGGTTTTAACTTTGGTTATATATTAGGCCTGCACGATTTAGGGATTTTTTTTAAATCAAGTTTTTATTTCTAATAAAAATTGTGATTTACAACTTTTTTTATTTACAACTTGATTTACAACTTTTTTATATATATATTAGAAATATCCAGATTAAATGTATTTAGTATTGAATAATAATAACAGCAACAACAAACGCAATGATAGCAATATAATAGGGCAGCATTATTTGGGGACATTTTTTACAAATCAAATTTATTTCTGATAAAAATTGTGATTGTGATTGTGAATTTTTTTTTATTAAGTTCTAGTTTTACTGTGCTTATTTGTAGAGCTGTAAAATTTGGCCAAAAAGTTGGTGATTATATACATCAGTCTGACTATAGAATAATTATAATAATAATAAACAAAAAAATATATTGTAATATTTCAATGTAAAATAAAAAATCTGGATTTAAGAAACAATAACGCTAATAATAAAACACTTAATTATGAGCTGCCTGTGTGTAAATGCAGCATTGATAATCTCCATAAAAGCCATATTGCTATTTTGGTTTTATTTTGATAAATTCAGCCCTAATGAATGTCAGTTATTTTAATCCATGAAAAATAATCTAGTTTATAAAATCAAACCTACCATGCAGTCAGCTTTGGTAATATACATGGCCATTGTCTTTATGTCAACTTTAAACAGGACATCCTTCACTTTTTTTAGCATGTTGGTCTCCAGAGGTTTATTTTCTGGGAGCAACAGTGGTGACTGGTACATACAAGGTCTGAAACAGGAAACTGTGTCTATAATGAAAGGCATTAAATAATCCTCATCGTACTCCTCTCTGCGATCCAAAGTCTGTATCTCATGTCTTACAAAGGGATGATTTGTAGTAACAGGGTCAGTTGGAGAAATCGCTGGGTCATTTTGTGGATGGTTCGCTTCTCTGTTGTTTTGATGGGAATGTGTCAAGGAAGACAGAAGATGTACTGTTGGTTCCAGATAAATGAGAGTGTTTTCAGGGGGGGATGAACAAAGCCGTATTTCACTGGAACTTTGCAGAACAGGTGATGAAGGGACTATAACAAACTTCCTGTTTTCGGAGGGGCTTCGTCGACGCCTGGCCACTACAGTAGAGAAAAAAAGCAGGTGTACAGTCACAATGCTATTCTCAGATTGTCTGGTTTTAATTGATTTGATGGGAACTGAATCTTACATGTGCTCATTAATATGGGGGAAGTCGACACTACAAGGCGTTGCTCTACAGTGCCATCAAAACTTCTCACCACGTCACTGTGGAATACAGTACAGGACAATCAATGATTATTAAAACAAAACCCTAATCATTTTAAAAAGTGAGATTTATATATATTCTGTAAAGATGAAATGTGTGATTTTAAAGGTATAGTTCACCCAAAAAAGGAGAATCATTAACTCACCGTCTCACCCTCATGTTGTTCCAAATCCCCAAGACTTTCATTCATCTTCGGAAAATAAATGAAGATATTTTTAATGAAACCTGAGTGATTTATGTCCCTCCATTGACTTCGATGCTTCAAAAAGGTCATAAAGAAATTGTAAAAAATTGTGTAAAATTAAGCGACATGCTCACTTTAAGAGACATGCTCACTTTATATGCGAACAGATTGAATTTAGGCTTTTTATTCACATATAAACATTGATCAGTGAACATTAACAGAAGCTCAACCGAACCTGTTTTGAACCTCACTGGTTCTCGCACATCAAGTGAACATGCTTGAGCTTCTGTTTAGCAGATCTGATGTGTGTGCTGATGAAGGTTTATAAAGTTTATAACTGTTCATCATATAGAGCAATCGTGTCTCTTCAGGAACTTTGTAATAAACCGCTCAATTAATATGGGTTAGTTTTACAATCTCTTTTGAACTTTTTAAAGCGTCTAAGTGTTAGTTGCTGTCAGAGACATTCAGTTTTTTGTTCATTATGTTTCACTATCATGGACTTTTGGCTTGAAATTCTTAATTTCCTGTATTCTTTGTTCATGTTTCCCTCTCTCATTTGTTATTATGGTCATTCGTTTAATCATCGCACCTGTTAGTCATTTTAATTCATATCTGTGTATATTTAAGTCCCTAATTTTTCTGAGTCGCCAGTACTTGTGTTAAGATTACGAGAACACACTGTTATTGTCACGATCACCAGTGAGAGTGCTCTGTGATTACCACTCCCCCCAGACAAGCACCACACTATCACATTCTCCATTCCCCACAATTCTTTGCCTGGACTAATCAGCCATGATTACATTCACCTGTGTGTAATTACCTTTTGTTTAGCTCACAGTATCCACCTTATTCCTGACGTTCCTTACTGCGTTTTGAATTATGGGTGGCACTTCTGGTTTGGGGAGCTTCCATTCAAAAAGACTGAAACGAATGATTTCAAATCATGAGGTTGTTCTACAAATAAAGCTGATCCGTCAGTTTGACTGGATGAGCTGTCAATTTTCCTTCATGATTTATTTTCAGACATCATGAGAATAACGTTATACTTGGTATTTTAACGTGACGTTATAACAAGAACATCTATGGCAAGAGTCCTTTTCAGTCGCTGCTTTCTTTTCCTCAAGATGATTTTTATTTTTTCCTTTGCAATCCGCTGTAAAAGTATGAAAAAGGACAACATATAGGCTATGGCACATTTGTGGCCGGTCCTCCCGAATTTAATTTACGATATTCCATTAATAATTCACTGGAATGCACGAAGAATCACTCGTTATTCTCCTCAAATCCTCATGTCCCTTTCCAGGTTTGTTTTCACAGGTAAATGCAATTTATCTGTCAAAATGACGGGAATCACTTTGATATAGTGTGAAGTAATGCTGAAGTTAATGAACATTTTTGATTAAGGCTTGTTATACAAAACAGATATTTATTGATATTTAACCAAAGACTCACGCTTATCGGGCTATTTTTGGTCTGTTGAAAGTACCTTGTTGATTCTTTTAAACTTTTAAATTTCATTTTAATGTTGGTTAATCTCATTAAAGCTAGGGTATACGATTTCAAAGATTGTTCATTATTAATATCCTCGTTTAGATGCTGGTTATGGTTATATAGTACAATCCTAACAATATGAATAGAAAAAAGAACGAAAAAAATCCATTCACTCTATTGGCTGTACAGCCGCAGAAAAGTTGACCAATGTAAGCTGTGCGGCCGCACAGCTTATATTGGTCAACTGCTCTCATCCAATCACCAGCTCCACTTGAAACTCCGCCTGGCGCTCGCGTCTCCAACCCAACCGCACCCGCCCCCGCCCCCCTCCGTGCGTGAGCAAACAGCTGACAGACTGTCTATGGTAGCTAGCTAGTAGCGTCAGATCAGCAATGGATAAAGCAATGGATAAAAATATAAACGACAACAGCAAGCGGCCCCTGCTTGCCTCTACTGTAAAGTTTGGACGCAAGAGAAAGTCTGTGGAGGAAAGATCAGAGATTAAAAAGAAATGTGAAGAATGCCGGACTCTTAAGTAGGATAAATGTAGCGACCTTCATTGACCGTTGGAGAAAGCTTCAGGGAGATCTGGGGCTGAAAACGACGCTGACACGGATGACTTTTTGTTGAGCAGGTAAACATTTATTTATTCTTTTATGGTGTGACGTGTTACGTGGCTTTTTGTCAGTTTGACAACTTGCTCATGCTGCCGGTCGGCATTGGAATGTTAGCCGTTTAGCATCGCCGATCGCGGTTCAAAGTAATTATATTTCTTGTTCGAGGTTTCTGTTCGAGCCGATCGGAATTTGAACAAGATGCGCTGCGTGCTGCAATAACAATTACTGAAAACCTTAGAAATACTAGTAGTATTATAATGGTGGTGGGGAGTTTAGAACATTTCATGTGTTGCTAATCTTGCGTTGACGTGAACTCAAACGTGACATACGTCAGGGATCAGGTAGCACAGAGGGGAGGGGGGTGTGTGTGGAGGGGCGGGATGAGTTTTTTAAAACTTCCCTACCGTCTCGACCGATTTTTAACATCGTATACCATAGCTTTAATGGTATCTCATTTTGACACTTTTTTAGCGTATTGCGTTCATAGAGAGAACCTTTCACTGATTATTTACAGCTTAACGGAAGTTACACTCATAATTCGCGCAAAGCGTCATGGGGCGTAGGAATAAGGTGAATATAAGCCTGGTTTTCTCATTCATTCCCTGTGAAGTCTTGCCTAATGTTACTCTGAGCATTCTCTCTGGTTTCATGTCTCTTGGTTCTTGAATGTTTGCCTGTTACCCAGCAAACAAATTTAGGTTCTGGGAACGTTAGTTTTTGGTTTCCAGAACTTTCCCTTAAGGTTAGGGGAACGTTCTCCTTACGTTATAAAAATGGAACCTAAAAATAACCTACATGGAACGTTCCTATAACGTTCTTGTTTGGTTCCCCCCCCAAATAACATCATGGGACCATTCGGGAACGTTAGGGGAACGTTCTGTGTTTGCTGGGTACTTAGATTCCCCCTTTGCCTGTGTCCCCTCTCCTGCTTGTTTGGACTGGCTTCCTGTGCTTGACCCCTTGCCTGTGTTTGGATTAGGGATTACTCAAAAGCTGCATTTGGATCTCAACCTTTTTGTCTCAGAGCAGTTCGTAAAAGATATGTCACTTGATTTGTTTAATTAAATACTCCTGTGACCTTTCACAGAGATTGTGACTGTTGCATAACTGTCAATGGAGGGCAGAAATCTCTCAGATTTGGTAAATATCTTATTTTGTGTCAAAAAGATGAACAAAAGTCTTACAATTTGGAGTGACAAGAGGATGAGTAAATGAGGCCAGAATTTTCATTTTATAAACCTTTAAATAGGTGTGCTATGTGTTTAACTGACCAATGGGGGAATAACAGGATTTTTAGAAATGTAAATAATCTCTGCGAGTCCATATAATGCAAGTGTACTGGACCTCCAAATTTGAAGCTTCAAAAACCAAACAAAGACAACACGACAGTAATCGAAGTGAAACGATAGGTGTGTGTAAGGAAAATACTATTATTTAACAATAAGCTATTACTTCTGGCCAACTGTCACATGATTGTAAAACTCACACATGCTTCACCAGCACTTCCCGCTTGACTCGACCCATTTGACAGTTAGCTGGAAGCATTAGTTTATAAGTCTCATACTTGCATTATCTGGACTCACAGAGAGCATTTAAAAAATCTGTGTTCATCTGAAGAAAGAAAGTTATATACATCCGGGCGGCATAAGGGTGAGTAAATGGGATTCATTTCATTTTTGGGGATAAGTATCCTATTAAGGCTGAGAAATGAAACACTCCAGCTCAAATACAATCATACAACTCACCTTTGTGGTCTTATCAGCTCAATTTCCAAAGCCTCCGTCACAGTTATGCTCTCCCTCTTCTTCTGGCTTCCTTTCTGCCTGGTTGGTGAGTTCACTGGGCTGCTCTCCACACTTGGTAGCCCAAACATGGTTTCTAGGTGTCTTAGTGGAAGTGTCCTGTAAACTGGTGAGTAAATCAACGCACCACTCTTCTTTGTCAGAGGCCTTTTACTTCCAACATAGGAATGAACCAACGTCAGCACAGAATCAAAGGTTTCCTCCTCCAGAATATACTGCGCTCGTGTAGATGCGTCATAAGATCTGATCAGAACCTTGCTGATGAGGAAATGAAGAACATTCTGGTTCCACTGGCAGGTTAAGACATAGTCCCCAATGCTACTGAGGGAGTCACGGACTAGAAAGTCCCCGTTCTGTTGCACAAGAGACTCAGACACCTGCGAGAAACAAATATTAAGTCATATGGCTTATTATATCACCGTGTAATTTGAGATGAAATACTAGTCAAAGCAAGAACTTGCAAAAATGTAAGGATACATCCAACAATACATTTTCTTTTTACAATTAAAATCTCACCTCCCAAGGTATACGACCATGGTACCAGCCATGACTTGATAAGTTACTGCTGCTCAATTTCAGCTCTTTCTCCAACTCCTGCTTTAGTTTGTCTGATGGGGAATTCAGTTGGCATTTCTCTTTAGAAAACTTAAGGAAATAGAGCAATGATGAAAAACCATACGAATAAAGAAATCATTAGCAACCTCCTATGAAAGCGCTGTCTCAGGTGGATCACATTTAAAGCAGTTCTGGTCGATTGTTAAGGTGACATATCTGTGTTTACAGTTTGTAATAGGCCAATATATTATCACTGACAACAGTGTGGAGTCTTAAAAGCATCAACTAGCTCTTTTATCCAATATATTTATGTTCATCTGGAGCAATAAAACTGATATAGGTTAGCTTAAATGATGGGAAAATGTCCTGAATGTTAAATAAACATTGTGCAAAAGACAAACGACAGTAATGGTGAAAAGACTGCCTTTGTACTAGAGGCTACAACAGAACTACCAGTGGTATAATGTGAAGCATCTCTATTTAAATGTGAGCCCATTTTCAGTTGCCCTAAACAGCAACATTTGGCACAGTTGGTTGCCTACAGTAACCCTGTTTGTCCTCAACCATTCTGAAGACATGGGCAGCAGTCTAAGCCCCTTTGTGTCACCCATCCTAATTGAATTAGAGTTTATGGCTAAGCTCTCAGATTCCTTTGTGACTACCGCTTTGTGAGGGAATGTCATCAGAAAAGCAAAATAAAGTTAATAGCTATTGAACATTCTGTCATAATTTACTGTCAAATTACAAACCTGTATGGCTTGCTTTCTTCTTTGGGCAACACGAAGCAGTTTGTTTACCATTGCCTTCCATTGTGTGGACAAACAATACAATGGAAGTCAATGTGATCCAAAAATGTTTAGTTACCATCGTTCTTCAAAATATCTTCTTTTGTGTTCCACAGAAGAAAGAAAGTCATACAGGATTAAAACAACAAGTGGGTGACTAAATAATGGCAGAATTTTCATTTTTGGGTGGAAAATCCATTTAAATTATCTGCATGATTGAAAGCCATTTCCCTTAACAATGTCACCCTGAAATTTGTCAAAGTTAATATATTACATGTATCATGCAGTAGCCTACCTTTACATAAACACCACCATTTTCCATGGGACACGAAGGCCTGTAAATGCAGGAAAATTATCAAATTATACCAGTGTGGCAACTAATGTCAATTATATCAAAGTAACCTTTTTTTGTAATGCAACTTCACATTATAGTAAAGTGGCTCCAAGGCAGGAAATTCTCAAAAAAACAACAAAAAAAACAACAACAACATGCTGCTCTTTCCCATGACCACCATATCCTTTGTGTATTATAAAGATGCCGTTACACCGTTCAGAATATTAACTGTTGGACCACAGACACAACTGACAACACCCAGTAACAGCCTGCAATGTCCATTCCCAAACAAAAAGCCTCCATGCCAGACAGCCTGAATATCTAAGAGATTACAACACCAGTTCCCTCTCACGGTTTCACAATCAAAAATGTAACCCTTCTGGGCAGAAAAAACAGCACATAAAAAACAAAACATTCCTCAACACATGGTGTTCACAGAGAGAGTTGGCAATAAGGCAAACTGCTTTGTATTTATAGTTTCATTATGGTATATATATGAACATGGCATAAACGTATTAGAAGACACTTTAACACCTTACTCTGTCTTCAAAACAACTTACAGCAACTATAAAATAGCCTCCTGGATTCTCAAAGAATAAAGCACTTATAAAGCACTTTTTAGCCTCAGACACAAATACAACATGCGATATGATAGAAAGAGGATGAGCACATACTGTGTTTTGGTGTTTTCCTCTGTGAAATCATTATGGAAATTAAACATTTTTGCAGTAGGCCTATATGAAAACACATAATTAAACATGTCAGAAGACATCTTACTCCAATAATTGAATTCGTTTACATTATAAAGCAGTCCCATAAACAACTTTTTAACAACCATAAAATAACCTCCTACCAGAAAGAGATTCTCACCAAACTCATCCTCCTATAGATCTTATTAGACTCAGACACTTCACTTGTTCAAGCTTATACGAGGGTCGACACGACAGGATGAGGATGAACACGTACTCTACGCACTCTGTCAGTCGCTCTGTTTTCTTCTGTGATCTGTTCTCGCTGTGATGTTTATAACGGAATCCCAATGGAACTGTAGGAATGTCAGACTCAAAAAGCGGAGCGCGAAAACACATTTCCAAAGTTACATAATGAGCAGCAGACTGACTCCCCTCCCCAAAACGAAAAACCTCTCTCCTCTCAGACATCCAAACAAGCCCCATGCTATCATTATAAACACAAATATTTGCAGACACTGTAACTTTTACTCTATCATGATGATGCGATAATACACAGTAGGCTAGTCTGTCTGTAGGCTACACAGAATGCAAATTCTACGATTAGTTCCAAAATTAGAAGTTCAACAACATTTAAATAATTTAACAACATTTCAAATATCTCACCTCGGGGCTCAATTAGAACTCTATTTGCTATTAATTTCTCTTTAATTCCATGTTTTAAAAGTAACTTCAACTAACATTAACCACTACTAACAGGGTCGTGAGATTTGGTCCAGCTGTGAGAGGAAGTCCATCATTATTGTCACAATATATTGACACGCAGCGCGTCTATTCTTTGCTACAAAGTTGCAGTGTCTCATGATGACGTCGTTTCTTTCTGTATCTTTCTCACCCCTCCCCCTCCAACTTGGCAACATCATACTCACAAAATGTCTGTTATTTTACGCAACAAGCTTTTGTTTAGACAGTTCAGTAAAACCAACTTGAAGTTCGCAGATGCCCATGGTGTCATCAGGTCATTGTTTTAAACCTTGAGCCAGTCTCTGACTGGCACGGCTTGCACATACACATTTGTGAGTCAAACTATTTCATTTTTTTGTGAAACATTATAAAGTGAATTTAACGGTGAGGTTTTAAAAATGCCCCCCCAAAAAACAAAAAAACAAACAAAAAAAAAAACTTAATACCCAAAACGGTCATATACCTTTTTTACTATGGGAATATCAAGCTGCACCAACCCCAGAAATGTATGGAGATTTAAAGAAAAAGTTAAAGTAAATATTTATATTAGGCGTTCATGTTTATGTTGCATTGCAATTTGCACTTTTGCTGCGGTTGGCATTCGAGTATTTTTAGGGGCAGGTACGCTGTAAAAAAAATAAAATAAATAAAAATCACATTTTACGGAAAATAACAACAACAACAAAAATACAGTCCTTTTCCTTTATTTTAAAATGTAGGCTACTAAAAACTCTGCAAAATTAAAAACAATATCCATAAAATGATAACTTTCAGAAAAATTTGATACAGGAAAAAAATACTCTATTATTTATAAACCGCCACAAGATGGCGCAAATGGACAGTTGGCGCCTTTGCTCACTGTAAAAATAAATAAATAAATAAATAAACACACACACACACACACACACACACACACACACACGTATATATATATATATATATATATATATAGTAGTGAAGAGTAGTTTTTATCATCTCAGATCCATTGCAAAATTAAAAGCGAGTAAAAACTTTAAAAACTCACTGTACCCTGATGTGGCTAAGTCCTCTTTATCTTGCCTACAAATGCTGCCGCCAGGCTTCTTACCGGAACTAGAAAGAGGGAACACTCTTCACTCTTCGCTTCACTGGTTCACTCTTCACTTCTGAAATGATTGGTTTGTCAAATCTAAGGCCATTAAAAAATCACTCCCAAAATTTTGGCATAAGCATGAGACACAATTAAATGACCCAGATGGTTATTTATCTGTATAATAGAATCTGGTGGTCCAGACACTACAGTCAGTGTTAGACAATTAGCTGCCAGCCAGCATCTTACGTCCACAAGGCAGTTCAACAGAGAGTGTATGTCATAATTATCCCCATTTTTTAAAGCGAGATCATCCACATAAAAATAGAATGGAATTTTGTGCTTTCAAGGCTAAAGGGAGCAAATACATCACTGAAAAAATATTTTCATTCATCCAATTAAAATTTTTAGGTTATGGTTCACATCCATATTTTATAACTTTAACCAATGAAAAATAAATAACTTACCCTAACCAATATTTTCTATGTCTATGAAAAGTTTTTTATTTTTTTTAAACTTGGTACAAAGTTACCAAGTAAATTTACAAGGTAAATTTTCCATGTTGAAGAAAGTCAATTAATTTAAATCCTTTTTTTATCTAAACAATAATCTATAGATTTGATTGAAACAAAACTTCTCATTTAAGAAATATGATGTACAATGATGTATCATTTTTAAAAATAAATGTTTATAGAAATTATTAATTTTAAACAAACAAAAAGATATGGAACAAAAAGATAAGGAACATTTCTTTATATTTGATCGATCCAAAATCTAATAAATAAAAAAAGACAAATAACTTTAAACACTTAACCAATTTAAACACATCAGCAATTTCAGTGCTCAAGTTTCATATTTTAACTTCAAGGGCTGCCAAACATTGACCTTACAACGGCCTTAAAGGGATAGTTAAATGAAAGTTCTGTCAGTAATGACTCTCCCTCATGTTGTCCCAACCCCGTAAGACTTTCGTTCATCTTCGGAACACAAATTAAGATATTTTTAATGAAATCGGAAAGCTGGATCACTTCTCCATAGGCTTCTAAGGGACTAAAACTTGACTATTTTAACAATGTCTTTAAAAACTTTTTGGGGCCGACAAGATTTAGTCCCTTAGAAGCCTATGTAGGAGTGATCCAGCTCTCAGATTTAATCAAAAATATCTTCATTTGTGTTCCGAAACTTCCGAATATGAACAAAAGTCTTACGGGGTTGGAACAACATGAGGCCGAGTAATTACAGACCGAACTTTAATTTTTGAGTGAACTAACTGCAGGGAATTAGGGAAAGAAAGTCCTTGAATATGTCAAATTTACTATGCAATTTTAATGCATGATTATTGTGAAGTAGTGGCTGTGAATTAGTGCTAACACAGGTGGTGTTTTTGTGTAAAGTGTACATTTTAGTGTAAACCTCTAAAGCAGTACTTTCAACTTTTTATTGCCAAATCATTTCTTGTTAAAACCTAAGAGCAGAAAATATCAGTGGCATAAGATAAGAAATTAGATCATGCGAGAAGATTCTTGAAATAGGTATGTGTACTTCTTAGAGAGAGAGCGAGTGTGTGTGCATGTGTGTACGGACTACAAAATGAGCTGGCCTTGATCTGGCATGATTCTGGACCAGATCCAAAACAGAGCTGGACCAGATCTGGCCCATTTGGGCCAAATCACCATGAAGGAATCCAGAGCTGGCCCAGTTCTGGTCCAGATGAGAAAACCGAACTGTGCCGGTATTGGCCCGTTGTGCCAAGAGAATTTACGACGTGTCTGGGCCAGATCTGGGCCAAATGATTTTTGCTATCTTGTAAGGACCCAACCAATCAATTCTCAATTTCGGGTGGGCTTTTCTCTCTACTACTCCCGAACCAAATTAATCAGAAATTACTTTGCAAGTTACTTGTTAGGGATGATGTTAGGAAGTGCCAGTTTGCTATACATTTTTAATGATTACAGTATAGCTAAACTTCACCATTTTAGCTGTAGAATGCCACATGCAGTCGCCAATAATATTAAGAAATATGTTGACCTTTTACTTTTAAAAATGTTTAACGTTACAGATAATGCTTACAAACTTTGAAGGTTTTGAATACATAAGTTACATTTGTAATGGTGTAGCCTATTTTCATTTAGATGTGGTATTATTATTTGTGCAGTAGCTAAGATTAATTACTGCATAAATTAATTAAGATTAGTGAAGTAATAAATTCGTTTTAAGAAAAAAAAAAAAGAACAGAAATAGGCTAGCCAACCTATTAAAACATTTTGAATTAGACTGTCGACAGAATTGGGAGTGGTACAACTCGACTTTTAATCAGAAATGAAAGTGAAACTGTTGTTTTTATATGTCCAAACCTATTAGTATAATACTTTCCACAATGTCAGGTTTTAAAGCTTACAAAGCACAAAATGTAGCCTATAAGTTTTTGCACGTTTCTGCGCATGACACACAACAACTGAACCTCACGTCCATGGCAACAAGAAACAATTGCGTTTGTTTAAGTTTTTACTTCTCAGACTGTTTAGTTTAAAGCACGTAAAAAGTGCAATGCCTCCCAAAAAGAATGGAAAGGGGCGCGGAGATGCGCTATCAAATAAAAAGGAAGGTATTGAGCCTGAGCAGAAAAAACGCGAAGAATTAACGGAGAGTGACAAAAACTTTTATCGGGCTCAAATACGTGATTTGGAGGAGCGATTGGAAAGGTGAGAGTTCTGGCAAGTTATCACGACCACTGCCATTTTTGTTTATTTTGGTTACACGAGTTTTTAGAGGTTTTCACGATATTCAAATACCTCAGGATTTGAGAAAAACAACAACTCATAAACAAAAACGCATCTAGCCTACAGTAAAAACCTATACATCAATGGGAACACTCACCTAATGACGATGCTGTCGATTTGACCACTTGAATGATGTATCAGTACGTTTAAAGATATGAGATTATAATCGAATCTTCAAAAATCAGTTAGGCCTAGTTGGTCAGTTGTTTAATTCATTTAGCTCATGTCTCTGCCTTAGAGGGAAATAAAATGAAGTAGACTTTGGATTATAATGAATAATGTTAATAATTAACCTGACAATATACTTAACCAAATAGCCCTCAACAGGAAGTACTTAGCCTATCTCATATGCGTGACCTTGTCTTTTTTTATTGCAGATACCAGCTTAAATGTGATGAATTGGAGGTTAAAGAAAAGGACTTATCCTCTAAGATTAATAATGTGGAGAAAGGGAAAAAAGACATAGTTCTCTACATGAAACGCACACTGGCTCAAAAGGAGGATGAAGTGAATGATCTGACTGAGACTTTATCAAGACACCAGCAAGCCCAAGAGGCCGAGAGAGAATCCTTTGAGTTACAATTGAGCATGCTTAGACATGAACTTCAGGAAACTAAGGAAAAATTCACATCGAAGAACATGACGCTTGGTACAAGCTTCTGAACAGTCACATATTAGCATACATTCAAAACAAATTTCAAATAAAATATATAAACATATATAACAAATTGTCACTAAGTGTGTGATACATTCTTAAAAATAAAGGTTCCTTATGACGGTTCCATGAAGAACTTTTAACATCCATGGAACCTTTTCATTGCTCTAAAGGTTCTTTGTATTGGGAAAAGGTTCTTCACACTAAGAAAAAAATAGAAATGTGTTTTGGGTCTTAGCTGTACTGCTATGTGAGAGTGAGGCACTATCATATTATTGACTAGTTTTATTAAATGCACCTTTCTACCTATCAAGATTGCTAGTGTCCATAATTAAAATGTTTACCTTTTTTGTGTTTAGCCGGTAAGCTGGCGTCTTTGGAGGACTTTTCTATGCAGAGAGAGAAGCTTATGGCTGAACGCAGGTCGTTGGAACAGCAGCTTCAAAATCAAAAAGAGGAGCATCAAGCACAAATCTATAATCTGGAGAAAAAAGCTATACTGGACAATGACAGGTGAGCATGTTCATACTTCATTCACAGATGAGGTGCCTTGTTAATTGAATGTGACTTGTTGAACAGTAACTCTTATTTATACATATTGTGCATTATTTGATGTCTGAAACCATCAGCATAGAACAGGAGATTGTTTCATCTTACACTAATCATCTATTTTCACTGAATGGTTGCAATGTAAAGCATTACAAAGAGGCATTTGTTTAGTAAACAAGTCGATCTGTTGCTTGGTATATATGTATAGTACTGCATTCAAAAGACACTAAGGTTCTTTCAAATCTTTGGACTCACTATATTGCAGAGATTTTTCATCTTATCAGTTCTCACACACACACACACACACATACTTGTTTTTGCTACGTCATGGGGACTCCTGACTAGAAGGTTACACGTGGGGACACCAATTTCTAAATACAATAAAGGCATAATTTTTAATCAGAAGTGTCTAGGGGAATTTTTTAATCCCAAAAATCAAGTTTTTTATCGGAAATTATTAATTTTAGGAATGTGAATATTTGTCAGGTTTTTCTATCCTGGTGGGGACCTCCCTATTGTGTCTTACCCCAAACCACCTCCGAGGGGCGCCATTATAAGTTATCTGTAGGTTATCTAGTTTTAATACAAATTTAAACCTGTACCAGATTAACAATAAATATTAAGTTTAGATCATCATTAAAGTTGTTTAAAAGGGAGAATTGTCTATTTTTATGGATTTTTACTTTATTTTACAATTAACTAATTCCCATAAACTCTTGTATTTGAATAGACCATTTGTATAGATGTAAACAGTGACAACAGCTTCACCTCATTTCCTGTTGAATAGGAATCTATTTTTCTTTAATTGAGAATCTGAAAAGGTCCACATTTTGATAAATAAGACAGTCATGTTGTTTGACAAGCAGGAAATGTTCACGAGTCTATTGTGTTTGCTGAATAACGATCTGTGCATACTGGAATCAACTTTGAATTAAAACACGAGCACATGCTGGCATTCAACAGGGTTGCAAGATATACTGCTATTTGTGTTTTTTCTTATTCGCTATCCTAAAAATTTGCCACGCACAGAAACCTATGAAACTCAATGAGTCAAATGTGTATTATTGTGTTGCGGAATAATTCGCAAAACAATACAAAATGTAATCTTTAAGGAGGATGATTTTGCGGTCCTCTCTCTTCTTAAAAAGAGAAAGAGGAAATATTGGGTCCATCCAACAAGCCTGATTGTAGAGAGGAAGAGAAGAGTTTACTGCTGGATTATCCAGAACGATTCGGGGTTTACTTCAGGATGTCAGTGGCTCAGTTTGAAGCTTTGCTACCGATACTAGACATAATTAAATACGAGACCACCAAGTCTTCTAGATTTTAGTTCTAGATTTTGGCGTTTGATTGTACGGTGGCTGTGAATTGGCAAAACACCTCTAAAATACTTGCTATGGATGCAAAAAAGCAGCATAATTGACACAAAAGTTTCGCAGGCAGTGCGTTAAGGTGATAGACACAAAAGTGAGATCGTATATTTTTTAATGAACGAGAATTTTGGACTTAGTGTGTAGAGACTTCACACTGTGTTTTTTTTAAATCCTTAAACTCAACACAATACTGTCTGTATTATCTATCAATCTGTCATCTGTAGGCTGTTCTTTATATCTGTCTGTCTATCCATCTATATAAGTTTTTTTTATATTTTATTCAAATGTGCCACAGTTTGACCACACTGAATTCTTAGAAGACATTTGATGTACAACTTCCCCAAGAAAAGTTAAAAAATTTGGGTAATTACAGTAAAAACAAGAATCTACGATTTCTTAATGCTCTAGAACATTTATTTACCTTGTGTTTTGAAACACATTTTGAACATCTTGTTGCCTTCAACAAACATAGGATGAAAAACACCTAGGTACAAAGGACCTTTTCTTCTACATTTTTCGCTTTAAGGCATCAATACGATTCTTAACATAAAATTTCACCGCCTCCCAACGTCTCCCCTGAAGTGCTGCTTGTGACCTTTCAATGCACTCCATGCATTGGGCTTTACCAGGAACCTTCCCAGAGTGGATGTAGTCCATCAGAGTTTTTTCCACAGCCTGGATCTCTTCTTTAGACCACTTTCTTCGTGGGTTTTGTGAAGATACTGAAAAAAGAATTAGTAATTGTGATTGGAAAAAAGTAATTGTTATCCCACACGACATGAAAGTGAATAACATATCAAATAAATACATTAAAATAAATACAATAAAATACAATAAATTCAGTTTCTCTCATTGTTTTACAGTTTTTATACACACTTTTTTGCTAAAATCTAGTTAGCATGGTTGAAAATTTGTACATTCTGGCACAAGTTTACAAGCATGATACCTAGTAACAATATAAACAGTGATACTGTATTAAAAGGGACTATTTTGACAAAAATATTGCTTTTAATTTAGTCACTATCTAAGATGTGTAATGGACCTATATGGTAGACATTGTACTTATTTCTATTTATTAAACTGTAAATACTTTGTGCATGTCTGAAACTTCACTGAATAAATGCATTTAAAAAAAGAATAACTCCAGTACAATTACATAATTTTTAGATAAAGCAACATGCAGCATATTCTCAATGTTTCTTGTTCTTCTGCTGGACTGAAGCACAGGCTCTATTCTTCAGCACAATAGTGACCCACAAAACTCAGACAGAACAAACCCTTTAAATCCCAACAGAACATTAAACACTAACAAATCTGTGAAGATCTCAGCAGAGGAGGGCTAAACAGCATTACCAGCTTCATTGTCACGACACTGTTTTGTAAGTTTTTCTATTAGAAACTTTCAAATTTGATTAAAACGCCCTTGACATTTAAGGAAATTTAAGGAAATCCATAAATGTTTTCCAAGTTTTAGAAGTACACTCAACTAATGCCATTTTACAGAGTAAATACTGTATATTGTGAATAGATTTTTTCAATAAGTATATTTACACCATATACTTATCATAATATATTGATCATAAATATTGGAAATACTCTGAACTCTGTTGTCAATATAAATGGGTCTAGAGTTGGGGTACTCGAGTCCGGACTCGAGTCCAATTTTGAATGAACTCGAACTTGTCATGGTCACGCACTCGGATGAATTTGTACTCGGACTTGACACGGACTAGGACATTTTAGACTCGGAAAAATGTCCGAATCCAGTCGAGTCCGGGCACTGGAGGACACATTATTCAAAAACGAAACGAAACTTCTTGTGTTGTTTCCGCGTTGAGCATTGTAGCCAATCACAGACATGTATATTAAGCGCTGTATATATTAATGTTTACATAAACCTTTTAGAATCTCCAAACTGCATTTTTTTTTATTAATAGGAAGGATCATATAAACATTGTTTCTATTCAGTACTGCACTGAAAAAGCTTTTTCACATTACAGATGTTTAATGGCCTAGTCCACAAAAAAATACAAGACAAATTACTTGAGTTTAACATTGTGTCATTACCTGAATGATCCACAACTGTTTTTTTTTTAAATGGTTGTTCATGAGGAATAATCCTCCAGCTTCTGCACATTCTTTGCTTTTCCAGCATCTTCTGCATATTTGACTCCTTACTCATACACAGAATACTCATACACAATCATTACAAACCCTGCAAATATTTAGTGATGTTCAAGAAAGAAGCATCCATTAAGGATAGAACTGGTGTAAATTGTTAAAAAACATAATAATAATTAATTTAGTCTTGCCCTTCAGAGGCTTAAAAAGATATTAGCATGTAAAACAAAATAATAAAAAATTAAACATCACCATCATCTTACTCAGAAGTGCACCCCTGGCTCTTAATGTATCGTGTTGCATTCTTGAGCATTACCTTGCAAATACCTTTTTCTCTTTGCTCCTCAATATATTTTTCACTGTTCGAGAAGTTGTGGAGTGAGAGCGGAAAGGTCAATTTCAAATAATTTAAATCTTTGTGGACTTGGCCGGACTCGACTCGGATGTTAAGGACTTGGACTCGACTCGGACTCGACTAAGGTGGACTCGGACCCAACTCTAGGTCTCTTAGTAGATTCCAATTGAAATGACTTAATTCTGACTGAATACCCAGGGGGCAAAACACCTGTTTTTTAGGAAATCAGACATGTGCTGCTGTAAAAGGTTGTCATATAAAAATGAAATCTATGATGTCTGAGGATCACAACCTGGGTGGACAACCTGGTCAACAAGCTGCTGGAAACTTGTAGTTAGGGTCAAAACAATGATACCTCAAATTCTGCTTTAGAATCACCCAAAATCACCCAAACATGCTAAAAAGGTTTGATTATGTTCTTGAAACTTTGTAACTGTTTTCTTTATTTCACATGTAAAGAAAACATCTTAAAGATGTTTGTTTAACTTTTTGATTCAGTTTTAAATGTTCTGTTGGTTGTATTTTATCCCAGCTTTTATGTAGTGTTAAAAAACTGAAACAGGAAGTGCTTCTGGACCAGTGTTGTTTACATCTTGTGAAATGGTCTATATACTGTACATACATAAACAGAGGAGTATACAATTAACATCATTTAATGGTAAACTTCTTTCTTGGAACTTGTTTGAATTGACAGGCTATTATAGGCTTGAAATTGAATTCCCTCTAAATATGTTATGGACCATGGGGACTGTATGGTTAGTGAAAATGGTCAAAATATGATTTCATCTAGTAAAAGTTAACTTCACATGGTAATTTGTTTATTTAACAACAACAAAGAGTAAAGAATGCTACCGATTACAAATGGAATGTTCAATATTTTTCTTTTTTTTGCCTACCTATGAATTAAGAGGCATTGTTCACTCTTACTTTCTAATGACATGTACAGTCAATGCATCAAATGAAAGCTTATCTTCCACTCTTTTGAACGGTGTGCTCAGTTTGTTTCTAGCATAAAGTATCAGGGAGATATGGCTCAGGATTCAAGAATATCCCCTTAACGCCCACTGTCGCAAATATGCAACAAACCATTTGACTCAGTCAACCAGCCGAGATAACGTCTGCATTCCCCCAATGCCGGTTTGTGCATATTCACTACGGACCTAGGACCTTCGACAAGCACTTGTTTCAAAGTGACGGACTTATTTCCTGTTTACACACGAGGATTTCTCCGGTCAGGAACATTTGCAACATACCAAATTGACCATTATGCCCGTTGTTGCAGATTTGCAACATACCAAAATTTCTATTTATTTGTTGTGCAAAAGTGAAATTGATAATCTCAACATTATTTACCATCTACTTAAAGGCAAAAACACACATAAAACATTTTTTTATATACAGCTATATAAATTCAGACATTAAGGGGATATAATCAAACCTTTTTAGCATGTTTGGGTGATTTTGGGTGATTCTAAAGCAGAATTTGAGGTATCATTGTTTTGACCCTAACTACAAGTTTCCAGCAGCTTGTTGACCGGGTTGTCCACCCAGGTTGTGATCCTCAGACATCAAAGATTTCATTTTTATATGAGAACCTTTTACAGCAGCACATGTCTGCTAAACCCCCTTTTCCCCCTGGGTAGAACTTTCACAAAAAATGGAAAGTGTGACATTTCATAAGACATTTGAAAACAGCTTACCTTTTGTTGTGTGTGGTTTGTCCAAGGCCTTGCCAATTGGCTGCAGTTCTTTATCCTTGCCTGTTATAAAACATATGAGCAAAACTGAGGAGACTTTAAATATAGGTAGGTCATATACAGTAATGGCACTGTATGCTGACCAAATAGATACCAGTAATTGTGACACACATCTAATTGACCAAATAGGTTGGGGTTTATTTTGTTTTGTTTTTATGAAACTGTGTTTTGTTGTAACTTTTAGAACAGGTGATTGTTTTATACGTTTGAACAAAAGATCAGAAGCTGAAACAACAAAAATGTATTTTCACTCCCTTCTCTTCTCAGATTAACCAATAATGCCAATATTAGCAAGGAGCACTGTGTGCAATTAAGTACTCATTTTTTCTGTTAGTACACAGAATAAATTATAGTATTGTCCGAAAAATGTATAAGAGAAAATTATATAAAATTATCTTAAGAATATATATTATCTAGGATATAAAAAATGAAAGCAAGTAAAAACATGTAAAGCACTGGTTCTTTAAAAGTAAAACAATATCAGAAGTCTTCATAATCCTCCTGTTAATATTAAATTGTATTACCTTTGGATGGTTGTTGATTGTGTTGTTCAACTTCATTAGTGGACTCCATTGATTTGTCTGTACACAAAATAGCTATCTTTTAGTAAAAGAACAAGCACTCCTAAATATCAGTAAACGCACTCAAATCTTTCTTTCAGTAATATTCAAGCCATTTCTAGCTTTCCCATCATTCCCTTTCAGTAGCTGACTACATACCTGCTGAATCTGAAGGTATAGCACCATTTCCAGTCTCATTTTCAGAGTCGGATCCATCACTGTCCATCAGTACTCTCTCTGTAAAACACAGTAAACATACAGATAAAATGAATAGGTAGCGAACAAATTATTTTTTAAACAGCTACATTCAACAAATGTCTATGACCAACAATGGAGTTCCAGCTGATCATAACATGGCATTTGAGAATTTTCAATCTGCTAGTTAATTTATTTATTTAAATCAATCAATTGAAAATTTCAGTGGCATTTGACCAAAAAAAAAATCTATGAAGGAATGTGTGTAAATTAAGTTACTTAGTTATAAACTCTGGTCTCTTTTACCTTGTGGATCAATCTGGATCTCATCAAGATTCCTTCCTTTGAATTCAGATAGCTGTCCTCGTTCCATGGCCATAAGAACCTTACTTATTTTGGCAAGCTGTAATGTGCCTTCGGGTAACCTATAATACTGCCGATGGACCCTAATGTCATGTCCGAGGAAGTCAGCGAGGTCATCCATTTCATTGTCCTTTAAGTTGAGCACCTTGGACATAGTGGCCATGTGCTTTCTCAGTTTTGTGGAGGATAATGTCTCTGGGTGTTTTGCTCCACAGCTTTGAGCAATCTTACGGATAACATCTGATCCTCTAAAGTGACTGAGTGCTTTTGGTCTTCCAAACATGAACACATTCTCATCAGGCACTTCACAGATACGACGAGTCTTGACAAGTAGCTCCATCGATGCCAGCATATCCGGTGTGAGAAGAATGGGGACCTTTCGTCCTCGTTTCCCTCTTATCTCAATTCTTTGAAAGTGCTTACAAAGTTTCTTCTCTAGGTCTGACAAAGCAAACTCTACATCAGGATGAGTTGACGAGGCATCCCTCAGTGTAAAAGCAATAAGAGACATCTTTGATACTTCTCCTTCTCTTCTACGATTGAACAGTATTACCTGACAAAGTGTAACTTTTGCAAGTTCTGCCCAATTCTTGTTACTTGGTTCTTCCTCAAGTTTTGTTTGGTACTCCTTACTCTCTCTGTCAAGATACTGGTGCATTTGTTTCACATCGTCAGCAAAGGGAAGAAGCTGCGGAGAGTTCCATTTAGCCTCACTCAAATTTCGGAGGGCCTGGGAGGACACACACTCACTCCATTTAGTGTCACAGATCTGTTTGAAGGCCTGCACATTGTTAAGAGTAGTCTTATCGCCTGACATCATTGCCTCGCATTCGATAATGTTGGCTAACTTCTTGAGATTGTGCCCTAACTTTAGTGCTAAAGATGGTACTTTGAATGTGTTTGTTTCCTCATTCAAGCCAGCCACACTGTGAACTGCTTCAATCACATGAGGAAAATTAGCCGGTACAAAGAAATCTGACACCTCCTTCAACTTGCCAGTCTGTTTACCTTGGAGAACTAGTCGTCCTGTCTCACGCATCTTTTGCCTGATATATTCATGTTTTGTGACATCATGGCCATGCTTATTGAAGAGATGTTCCCCTAATTTTAATATGATTTTCTCTTTGCGGACAACATCTGTTATCTTATCCTCGTGCATTTCAAGAACCATTCTCCAAAATCGCTCATTCACACTGTCTGGAACTGGTTCAGTATACGAGCAAAGGGCCTGAACTCTAGTTTTTCCTGGCTTCATTCCTTTGACTTTTTTGCTTAGATGGCATCTCTGCATGTGTCTCCACAATGATCTCCTCTTCAGGTAGGCCTCACAGTTTACACAGTGCAAGTAATCACTTGCTGTTACTGGTGCACTGGATTGCTGTCTGGGTATCACCATTCCTTCTCCTTCTTTAAGTACCTGAGTATTATGACAACGGTTCCCTTTATTTCTCAATAAACTCAGCTGTAATCTTCGCTCTTTAGACCCTTTCGGAAATGCAACTGCTCTTGCCACCTCTGGCTTATCTTTGTGCTTTGATTCCAAATGACGAGCCATTTTACTGAATGGTTTAGAGCAGAACAAGCAGAAGTACTTTTTGTTGTATAGTCTGCTGCCATCTGTTTTCTTCTTCAGCATCATGACCTTCACATTAGAAGTATCAGGTGAAGAGGATTGGCCGCTGACATGTTCATCCGATGAAGAGGATTCGCTGCTGTCATGTTCGTTATGTGAAGAGGATTGTCCGGTGTCATTTTCAACAGATGAAGAGGATTCTTTGGTTCCACTGGTAGCCGAGGAACTAGAACGTGTCACACGCTTTCTTTTACCTGGTTTAGATCTTGATGTTTTTGACCGAAGTTTTTTTCTGTTTTGCTGTTTGACATTTTTTGCTAAACTCTCTTCCTTTGCTGACCTGTCACTCTCTGATTGATCCTCTGTGTCCGGTATATACTCACTGAACTCTGAACTTGATTCTTCTGTTTCATATTCAGGCATTTTCCTTTTAAGCTGTGAATAAAACGTACAAGTTAGAAGTCTTAATCAGGAATGCCAGGACAAACAACATACTGCAATTATCTGTCCAAAGTAAAACAATCAGTGTGCAGACTTTATAAATAACAATGCAACTATTAATTTCCAGACTTTAGTGGCAATACTAGTAGTAATGGCATTAGCGATGCATGAATATAGCAAAATAAATCACCGTTGAGTCGAGTGATTGCTAATAGAGATATATGTCAAGAAATCTGATCAGACATGAAGATTGAACATGAAGAAACACAAGATTATAATATGAACAAAAGAAAAAAAAAGCAACACAGGTTTCTCATTTGCTCTGCAGTCAGATATTATTGGCGCTTTTTCCGCAGAGACTCATAGCAAGAGCGTGATCATCTGATGAGTGAAAAGCTGTCATCTAAGAATGGGGGGAGGTGGGCGGGTTGGATGAGCATCCCTATTGGACGAATCTATTGGTAATGACCATGAGCACAGTCTGTATTTGCATCATGTCAGGCAAGAAGTAGCAATGCAGTAGCAAGCATTTCAAGTTTCAAGGTGCTGACTACAGAACCCGGTCAGACGGAGGAGGACTCGCCCCATAACCTCCATGGCAACACGTGTCCCTATACAAAGCAGGAAGTCTGAACAGCGTCAGGTTAAGTTGCCTGCCGCTAAGTAAAAGGGGAGCCTTTAGTTGGATGAGGATGTAGAGAATATCCTGGAGAAGACATCAAGGGGCAATGGGAAACTTCAGACTATGTGCACACCCATAATGAACATAGGCACAGAATGTTTCGGTGTCATTGAAGAACAGGTCAAAAGTGATTAGGGTTGGGTACCAAAACTCGGGGCCAATAGGGAACCGGTTCTGACGTAAACGGTACTAACCAGACCGAATAAGAATTAAAATTTCGGTGCCTGATTTTGATGCCTGAGTCTATGGCATGAGGCGCACACATGCAGTCTCTCGCTGTTTCCCTCTCCCTCTCCGACATGCGCGCACTATACGGTTTATTGAAGCACTGTCTGATCCGTCTTGCTCGCTCGCTCTAGATTCCGGGAGATTTCGGGGAGCCGTTATCAATATGCGGGAGACTCCCCGAACGTCTGCTGATAGCGAGGAGATTAAACACCTGTGAAATGTACACGTGAAATGTTTGGCTGCATTTCACGTGTAAAATTACGCGTCAGAATAACGATTGTCTATGGATATAGAATCACCATTCGCACCGCCTTGACGCTCACGTCGTCATATTATATTGGCGCGCGCATCATCTGCTCCTCAGAGTTCTCTGCCGGAAAAGGAAGCTTGTCAGCAGTGCGAGATATTTGCCAGCGAATGCAGCGTCTCGTTCCCTATTCAGAGAACATGGGTTACACAGAGACGTTCTCTTTCATATGTTTACTCAAAGCTGCCTATCAGACGCAGTGGGAACGAAATATCAAACTGGCAAAGAGCTTAACTAGTAAATGACAAGATAACTTACATGACTAATTAAAGCAGAAAAAACATGGGAACCTGTAGCCATGTCGATATTATATTACCCTGGTAGTAATCTCTATTAATCTCCAGTATAATTACATTGTTTGATATAATATTGTTTTATTTTATATTATGTAAATATGAACTTTTATTTTATATTGGTTTATTTATTATTTCCATATGTTACTTGCACTGTAAGTTAGTATTGTGTCCAGTTTGGCCCAGTAAATAAAGGGGTATTATTTGATTTTTTTTTGACAAAGTGTGTGCGGTTTCAAGAACCGTTTAGGCACCGGAACCGTTTAAAAAATACCGAGTAGGTACTGGTATCGGATAAAACCCAACTGATACCCAACCCTAAAAGTGATCTAGCTAAACCTATCAGACGTATCTTCCCATGGAGGACTGTTCACCACAGCACAGGCTGACTGAAAACGGCAAGCTCAATGTTATGATGTTAAAAATTTCCGCAAAGTTCACTTGTTTTATGAACTTAAGAATGAACCAAAAGTTATCTAAACGAAAGCATTTAATATAACTAACCTTTGTTTTCATGCTCTGATATAAAAACATGGTCTTCTCCTGTTCATCATTTACAGTTTTTGTGTGCGCCTTCATGTATCGTTCTTCACAAGCATTGTGATGTGCTCTAAGTTTCTGAAGGTGACCCAAGTGACCGCTTTGAACCTACAAAACAAAAAAAAAAACGTTTTTTGTAAGCTTTTCTTTTGCCACTTATGCTACCTCCAGAACTGAACCTTCAAATAAGGATTTATTGTTGATAGCAAACAATCTACCAGGTGAGCCACAGGGGATCCCCTATATTCCACTGAACAACGCATACAGAGCAGGAAAATAAAAAGATAAAATAGAAAAAAAAACTCATATTAGAAATGTCTTAGTTATGGATACAGTGTCCTGTAACACAATTGTGTTTGTCCGGTAGGGTTCAGTTGGTTGCCTGACACATGCTTTTGCAGGCTTGGTGGTGCAGATTGCCTTTTGTAATGGTTTGGTTGAGGCCTACTTTGAACCCTGACTGATTTAACCATTTCATCTATAACTGATTCTTGAGATAAGGGAAAAAACATGTCCTACACACAAAAGCCCTCTTTATGTTGAAAATAAAGAAATTAATCAAAATTAAAATAGTTACAGGTTCAATCTAAAGGAAATCTGGATACTCAGGACATTCATTGCTTTTAATTTCTTTAGTTTTATTTTATATACATGCTCTATGTTTGAAGAACACATGTAATTTAGCCTGTCCTCAGCATGAGGACACAATGTAAAACTGCCAAACAAAGTGTTTAAATTTAAATGGATATTTTTGAATTTGTTGCAGTTTTAAAGACAAAGATCTGTAATACTGTATATCAAATATATAGGTATAATTATTACATGTAGTTGATTAATACTACTCGGAACAATGTAACTACGTCACTTTAAAAATAAAGTGTAATCATTTTTGTTTTGCAATATGGGGAATTACTGTATTCATTTTATTTACATATATTACATATATTTGGCCTGGTTAAGACACCTTATATACATCTTTACATCTAAAGTCACCATGAATTCAAAATTGATGATTCTTATTTTTTTATTGAATATTCTTATTATAAATAACTAATTCTTATCACTGCAATAGCAAACCCTGATGCAATGGACTTAAAAGAGAGAGTGAACATGTACAATGGCATTTCCCACTGCTTAATTAATGCAGGTCAGGCACACATAAAATGTTTGTAATTTAGGGCTGCTCGATTATGGAAAAAATCATAATCACTATTATTTTGGTCAGTATTGAAATCACGATTATGTAACATGATTATTTCACATGACTTTGGGAAAGTGTTACATTTATTAAAATACATCTTTCAAAAATTATTAATTTTTTAAAAAAATTTGAGCATTTTGTTGTAGCTATTAAACAGACCTGCAAACTCACAAAGGTGAGATGTTAAAGGGCATATTGCAGGTTAGAGGACCCAACGAGTCAATGCATAGAAAAACAATGTAGGAACTAGATTTTCTTTAAAATATACGTATAAACACGCCACAGAAGCTTCTGCAGTCGTTTTTGTGAGAAAATTTTACTTCCGCGTCTGAAA